ATAAAATGATTTATTAAAATTAATACTACTAGTAATAATAAATGGAATATGGACTATAGGAAGTATGAGTCGAGGAAAACTGAGTCATCAAAAATAGAATGGAGTCACAAAAGCTGATATGAGCTGAAATGGACTGGCCTTGGCCAATTGGAATCAGACAGCCATGTGGGTCAGTCTGCCAGGAATGGCAAGGTTGAGGGGAATGGCAGCACACTCGTCATCAAAGAGAACATTCGTGGTCTTGAAGAACAGTGCTGTGATCGGTTATCATCTCTCCTCGTACATGCAAATTCCGCTCCTCCAACTGTTCCTCACGTTGACGTGCCAACCACTGAAGCTAGCGATGACGTTGAAGGATTCTGCCAACTTCTTCCCTCTGAAATCGATCACACACACAGTCAAGATGCGCTGATAACTATTGGCGATCAGAAAGCTAAAGTTGGGGACACGAGGAAGGAACATTCATTGGAAAATCTGACACACGTGGTAGACATGAAGTTGGAGATTGCGTGAGAGAAAGCGGCAAGACCAACAACTTCTTCATTGAAAACACTTTTAAAACATTTTTCTCAACAAGATAAACAGGGACTGTACACATGGACTTTGCCGGACGAATGCACTGGAATCAGATGGACCACATCTGTGGGAAGAAAGGACAGGTGGAGAAGGCCAAGGTCATCAGTCACCAAAAGACCAGACGATCAATTGCTCGTATACAAGCCCAGGTGGAAGCAGAGTAAAGTGACCATAAGCACAATATTTGATCTTAGCCAAAAGGCCAAGAAGCGATACCACGAATATTATTAGATGACATCAAGGGGATCACCCATAAAGAAACCAACAAGGTCATTAAAAAGACAGGAAAGAAAGAAATGACAAACAGGATGTCAGTCCCCTCACAAAAGGGTCACGGAAAGAGATGAGCCCGTCAGTGTGCAGTATAACACTGAGGAAACATACAACATTCCTCTAGTTCTTTAATGCTTCCTCCCCCAACTATCATGACCCCAACTCTACCTTACAAATCCAGCTGGACCAGGGCATGTACCTGGGTACAGATAAGACCTGGAAACACAGGGAATCCAAGACATATAAACCCCTCGGGACCGATATTGAGAGTAGACATACCAGGAGGGTAAAGGGAAGGTGGGGGGAGAAAGGGGGGACCAATCACAATGATCAACAGATAACCCCTTCCCAGGGGGAAAGACACAGAACAGTGGGTGAAGGGAGACATTGGTCAGTGTAAGACATGAAAAAAAATTATAAATTATCAAGGGTTCATGAGGGAGGGAGGGAAAAAAAGGAAAGAGGAGCTGATATCAAGGGCTCAAGTAGAGAGTGTTTTGAAAGTAATGATGGCAACAAATGTAAAAATGTGCTTGACACAATGGATGGATGGATTGTGATAAGAGCTGTAGAAGTCCCAATAACCTGATTTTTTAAAAAAGAATGTCAGATGAGACTCTGAAACTTGGTCTTGATGGTAAACCAGCTTAAAAAAATAATAAAGGAAGGAAGGAAGAAGTGATGCCATAAAAGAACTGGACCAAAGGTTTCCAAGGGCAGCTTAAGAAGACAAAGCAGCATATTAGAAGGCCAGGTGCAGAGACCTGACGTTAGAAACCCAGAGGGAAGAACAGACTCAGCATTTCCCATGCTGAGAGATCAGAGGGGGGAAAGCCAGCCTCGAGAGTCGTACCGACAAAATCACACATGGCGAGGAAGCACCCGAGGAAGACAGAGGCATGCCCAGGCCGTGTTCCAAGAAGACCTGGCCAACATCCCGCCGTTTCAAGCGGTAGCACCTATTCAAGAACCAGTGGTCTGAAAGAAGCCCAAGCTTCACTGGAGGCTCTGGCAAACAGCCCGGCTCCAGGAATCGGTGGAACACCAACTGAGATGTTTCAACCAACCAAGACAGCCCTGGCAGCCCTCTCTCACCGGTGCCAAGAAACTGGAAGACAGTTAGCTACTTGGCCAGCCAACTGGGAACTATCCCAG